AACTGAAGGCAATACAAATGGAGGATGAAGAGGCTGAATACCAACTATAATCTTCCCTCTTTACTCTCTGCTCACCCTCTCTGAGGGAAAACAAATAAATGTGCCTCATCTTCAGATATGGAGGTAGACAGCTGGAGGCGCACTCTGTCACCGACCTGCTTAACCTCGCAACCGCTGGAAGAGTCATTTCAGTGGGGAGATTTTATTACTGAAATTATTTACCCAGTGGATGTTTAGGGAATTGTGCACGATGATTAATGTTACTTAAAAATAACATTAATAAAAAGTGTGTCTAAAAGAGTTAAAACAGTCATATATTCTGACTTGAAATAGGAGACCATTTTCCTCTGTATTCTGCTAAAAGCAAAAATATTGCTATTCCAATCACAATGCATTTTGGTTCTCATACTTTTGTTAATGCACATTCCCCGTGTTACTCTTTCCGCCGCAGTTAAAACAGCTCTGATAAAACTGTCCTAATCCCCTTTCCAGCCAGCAGAGACTCAATATAACTATAAGCCTACTTACTTACGAGCTCAAACGTCTGGAAAGACATAATGAACTCCGCACTGCACCTCAATTTCTTGACACAATCACAGCTACAGCAACACATGCCAGGACTTGTTAAGGTGTATTTCAACCCTTTCATAACAGAGCTCCTTAAGGTCAAGCTTTACCAGCTGACCCCATCTGGCTGCAGCCGTCAGACATATTGAGCTGTCAAACGGGAGACATCCCACAATAAATCTGAGAAGCACTCATCAAAGCTGATAGATGTTTCTTTATGCAACTCAAATAAAAGCTCTCTGTCGGCATGTGTTTGCAATTGACACAGCGTTGTTCAGAAGTAAAGCAAACGTTTGAGCTGCTTGTATTCTCGTGTGGCTACAACAGGTTTATTTGTATAACCCAAAAACATTGAGGGCTTTACAATCTGTGCAAAACACAGGACAGTCTCTGTCTTTAGACTGTTTATCTTTCATGATGATTGTAGATTTCAGTAAAAGACCCACAACTTCAGTGCTAAACCTTTTAATGGTACTCCACCCAACATCTTTTTTTGGCATTTTAAATCAAATATGTTTATTTTAATCTTCACCAGAAAACGTCAGCTTTTGTATCTTAATCTTTAGAGAATAGAAACTGTGATCCGTTTGAAGTCACTTGGTTAGAATGGATTTCAAAAGGTGAACTCAAAATGTCTAAACCACCTGCCTGCTCTCCTTCTGAATGCTCAGTATGTTTCAAACGCACTAACGTAACGTCTGAGCTGTATAAAACACACACATGAAGACCGATCAGACCATTGCCTGCATATACCCCTGCTGTCAGCTGCATCTCATGTTTATGTATGAGTCAGATTCTCACGACAGCAGTTTTGACAAAAGTGCAATTCTTTGTTCATTTATAAGTCGCTTGAGTTATTTATCACATTAAAGATTTTGTAGTGTTCCATACTTTATATAATTGAGGAATTCATATCTTTGGATTTTTGAAAACGATACATTTGAAAGCAACACCAACGTCATCAGGTTATTCATAATGTTCAGACATTTCACAATCCAATCCACTTTATTTATATAGCACATATTAAAAACAGAGGGTTTACCGAAGTGCTTCACAGCAAACATAACATTATAATACAATATAATATTACAGTAATAGATAAAAGGCACACATAAGAATAGTTAAAAGGTACATAAAGGCTATGGACAGACAATAAAAGCATAAACATCGATAAAACAGCTCAAACTGACTCGAAAGCGAGGGAAAAGAGGTGGGTCTTCAGGCGGGACTTAAAATAATACAAATGTTTATTATTGGCAGCCCTAAAAGCATCTTATACTGTCATATCAATCTATAGTTTATCCTAATCCTAATGTTTTGTTCCTTTATCTTTTAATTTGAAGTTATTGGCTCTGTGCCCAGGAGTTACTCTGACCCGTGCTATTAACCCAGCGTGTCGCTCCCTGGGGAATGACTGCAGGTGAAATGAGCCCATTTTGTTTTGCTTGGCAGAGACATTGATTTCTCATACATTTTGGCACTTGCCTCATCATCACAAAACATTGTTATTATTCAACAAAGTTGATTTCTGAATGGTTATATTCATCCAATGTTGTCTGGCTTTGTGCATTGAACAGAGGGATGTTTGGAATACAAGTCTTTCATACTCTAAAATGGTTTCTTCTTTTATCTCAGCATTTTGAAAAGGCATTAATCCTCACAATAAATGTCCTGGACGCTCCACATCTGGTCAATTGTCTTTTGAGTGAACAACAAAAATTGATTAGCCATTTAGTTTAGCGTATTGTTAGACAAACAAAAGCAATGAGCCTGTGACAAAGCCATTTTGCAGAAGCATTCACCAGAGGCATTTCTATCAGTACATGTGCTAATGTAACTCAACGTGAGCACATCGTGCCGGCACCACTGCATTGCAAGATATAAAATCAAAGGGAATGACCAACTGAGCACATCTAAACCTTTCTGATGGGTTATAGTCAATGATCTCTATTAAAGGAGATAGGATTTTTTTCTATCCTTGTGTATTAGCAGGGAAGCTCACTGGCACACAGCTGTTCTTAATAACCATCATTAGATCCAACCAATTGATATGTGCAGTGATTTTAGAGTTGCAGCTTACCCGCCATCCATTCACTTCCTTATGATTCCTAAAATAGCTTTCAGACAATAGCTCAAGAGAGAGATTTGCATGTAAAGAGCTGTTGTTATAGTCAAATGTTCTTTTATAGGTCTTAGATCTCTAGCTCTGCAAAAGCGGTTTTCTTTCTCAGTTGGTCCATGTGTTGTTTGTCTTGTGCACTAGCAATGGGGACACACTATTCCACAGATGGCAGTAATACGGAAAGATATGCTGTGATGTGCTAGTAAAAGCCAGGAAGAAAATCAATAGTATAGGTGAATATAATAAACAAGGCTGGATTCAGAAGTTAATGTACACAACACCAACATTGTGTACAATAACTGCACTAGACCTCAACGATACACACATTCATTTTGGTGAGGCTCAAAGCCTATCAGTTTTCTATGATCCTTTTTTCCTTTGCAAGTGAACATAAGTTTGGTTTGTTTACAAAACAATCTCCACAGGAACAGATTCATCTTGTTCGTGCAATCAAATGTGTTTGCGTTTTTCATAGCAAATATCATCCTGTTGGCTATAAAAGTTTTACATTCATGGTTCCCAGACAGTGTTTGGTGTGCTGCTGCAGATTGATATTTTATTCAGAGTGAAAGGTCTGGAAAAACTACAGAATGAATTGCCTTGGAATTGGGGGAAATGCAGTCATATCTGAATGACTATGGAAAGCATGACTGTGTGGCTCTTTGTCAGAGGTGTAGGGGTACCACGAATATATTCCGTATACTAGATGATATTATTACAGAGCAGACATTATGTCACTGGTTGGCATTGAAGCCCTGCAGCTTGATATACAGTTTGGAACTCAAACCATTTCTCTATTGCATTTAGGCCCCAACCCAAGCTTTGACGGTAACAAATAAAACACTGGGCAAACTACTTCCATGAATATTTAGATATTTAGATCATTGTTGTTTCAACCTTTTTCATAGAAACATTTTGGGCCGTTGCAACAACTGCAACCGCTCTCAGGGAATATAATCAATGAAAGCATCTGAAACCTCTTACTCTCTCTACCTTTCTGCTTAATAATTCAACAGCAAGCGTAGCCTCTGTGGGCCTTCACTGTGAAGGGGAGCGTGTGACCTCCAGCACAGCAGCAGGTGGCAAAGTGCAAGCGGTAGCAGTGTGCACAAAATGGTGTTAGCTTGCTTTGCTCTTTGGTGTCTATTTATAGTGGGGTTTTTGCTGGGGCTGGAGAATATTTGGAACAAAACTGAATATATTCACCTGGAACTTCAAGAGGATAAGTACTGACAAATAACAAAAAAGATTGTGTTTGATCGTTTCAGTCATGTTGCATCGCTGAAATATTCATTAATTTATTTTCCAGTAAACCTACACCTCAAAATACATCCTCTATAATAACTTGACGTGAAATCAGCGAACTACACATCCAACATATCATAACCCAATTGGTTTATGCAGTGACTGTCAACCTCGATAGCAATAATACCTTTACAGTATAAAGCATGTTACTGTCTTTATGAATTACTAAGTGATCAAGGCTGAAACAGAATCTGAAGCAGTCAGGGAAAAACAAATGTCCCTGGTTCATCGCTGCGATCTGATGAAATGGAGTTAAAAGCCACATAGTAAAGTAGCGCCTTGAATTTGCAATATTAAAGCTATTTCATTTAAAAAAGCCAACACATGCAAATGAGCCAAGACATTTGACTTCTCCTAGCAAGAAAAGCACACGTGGAACTAATAACGTTAGGTGGCTTCATTCCAATTAAGTGTGAGCCAGCATGCTTGATACCAGAGCTAACTGATACACGCAGCAATTACTGATGTTATTAATGACACCTGTGTAAGTTAGACTGTCGAGAAATACCGATGCCAGTTAAAGGTATTCCAAAAGGGAATGTTGTTTTGAATTAAGAAGACTAAGACTCCCATCAGAGCTTAAATCGACTTGAAAGAACGGAGTATAAAAAAACACATCAATATGTCCCATCCTAACCCAACCTTTTGGTCCATAGTGACTAATTTCTTTAAACTTTAAAAGGAGAGTTAATTGAATATATTCTTAAAAGAAAATACCCATTTTATCTGTTGGCTCTCGGCCAAGGTTTGTACTTTTCTGTCGATGGAGAAGTCTGCAGATTTACAAGTCTGCATTGTTGCATTTGAAAGAAAAAAGTATTGTTTCTTTGCTGTCTACTGCTCTCCCACTTAGTAATTTATACCCAGAAGAAAACCAAAGAAAGGTCGCCTAGTGCAAAAGGAACCCAGACCAGATTAATTCAATATCAGTTGCAATTAATTTCTCATGTCAAGACGGCTTGGGAGTAATCCAATTTGTTAAATGACTGTTGAATCTCTGTTTTAGATTACGATGTCTGGTGAAGCAACTGGAGAGAGGAGAGGCTTCCCTCACAGACCTCAAGAAGAACCTCGAGTATGCAGCGTTGGTGCTGGAATCCGTTTATGTGGAGGAGACAAGGTAAGGAAACAAACGCACGAGTGTTGACATGGTTCATTTGTTGAGAACAACAGCGCTGTAATGACAAAGGCCAGACTTTGGAAGACGGAGAACTATCATTAGTATGGCACCTGTGCTGTAATTAGTTTCATTTAAAACAGTTTGTCTATCAGTTGGGTTACAGAATCTCTCAACGTTATAACGAATGATAGACATAAATGTCACATTACAAATGCTTTCATAACTCAAAAAAAGTGACATTTACTGAAGTACTTACGATCCACAACATTTCACAATTAAATATTGCATTTTTTACTGCACTATGTATTTTAAGGGCTTTGTTATCAGTTACTTTTTTGATAAAGTAGTTATTGTTATACTGTAGATTAAACTACCAAAAGCATATGATGCGGTTAATATTAAATACTTGCTACTTACTTACTATTACATCAACACAATTGATACTACAACCATATAACACCAACTTACTTGTATGTTTTCACTTACAGGTTTATCGCTTGTTTTTCTTACCTAAATAATTATTTAAGCATGTAATATAATGTTGATATCCCATATGTGGACAAGTTGTCAATTTATGTCAACAACTTCTCATCCCTAAAAACCAAAAAATATAACAGATTTAGAGATTGGAAAGATCTTTCTTATGTCAAAAATATTTGTAGGTATGGTTAGGTTGAGGGAATACAAAAGGTCAGTGTATGCCAGTAGTTTAATGCAGGTCCAGAATCCAAGATATGACCAGGCTTATGGAATTATGTAAGGCTCCCTTCATCGAGATCCCACCAGATTAGGGCCAGCGATGTCACGACCACTCCAGGATGGAGGATGATGAACTACGCGCTGCAGAATCCATGTAGCACCATGATTATCACTGTGATGTCAATGCTTTCACTCTGCCATAGAACATGTATTCAGTTCAGAGGGTGGAGACCAACAGGCTTTTCTCTTGATCCCCTGTCCATGTCAACACAACAGCGTAGCTGTAGAGCATTATGTCACACAATTGGATTTGAATACTTCCCATCATGGGGTCTCAAGAGGCCGGGGATGTTTTGATGTTATATAAGAAGTGATAATATTTGATTGACAGCACTAGGATTTTGAGTTTGATCCCCTGTGACAGCAGAGCTGTGATAAATGCTAAATATTTTAGCAAGCCTTTAGTCTCTCTGCATCTGTCTGATTTGACCATGCTTTGTTTTATTTTTCATTTTTTTGTCTCGTTCACATTACACCCTTCTCCTCTCCCCTCTTTCAGGCGTTTGGTGGATACAGAGGATGAGCTCAGTGACATCCAGTCAGAGTCCGTGCCCTCCGAGGTTCGGGATTGGCTGGCCTCCACCTTCACCCGGCAGATGGGCCTGATGCTGCGGCGCAATGAGGAGAAACCTCGCTTCCGCAGCATCGTCCACGCCGTCCAGGCTGGCATATTTGTTGAGAGGTAAACCCGTGTGATGCACAAACACAAAGCCACAGATAAATAATGAATATGGATCGTCACCTTTATCTTTGCCCTGTTGGACCAGACCAATGTCTGTGTAGAGCCTTTATACAGTCCATGGTGAGGCGCGACGGACTTAAAGCTTTTCCATTAACATCTTTAGTTTGGCCTTGAATAATGAATGGATATTGTTCTTGAACGTTTCAGTGCATTTTCTTCACCTGCCCTTTAGATTCCAGACATTTTGCAAAGCACCGTATTTAAGAGTTTGGAATTATTATTTTAGTAACCTTCCTGGCAGAAATAGCCTTATATTTAGTCTCCATTTTGTTTGAGTGTCTGAATTGTGTGTAATTTAAGAAATGCTAACAATGTGAACCTTTCTCCTCACAATCGTTCATTGCCATATGTTTCATTTTACAGATGCCAAAAATGTGCCATAAAGACCTTTTCGAGGTCTCTTAGGTTAGATTATTGTTGATTGGTTATGCAGTACATGTTTCTCAAATCTCTCTGACCTTGTATGTCAACTGAACTAAAACGTTTGGCATTTGAGAAGGTGGAGAAGACAATTCAAAACTTCAGAGGTCTACAACTTGGCGTGGTTCTTTAACATTTATATCTGTGTGAATTATGTGTGCATCCTCTGCACGGTGACTCACTCACCTGAGTCGACCATACATCATCCCAGCCTTGGCAAGCACAGCGACATGTAAACACAATCATTCAGAGAGTTGCAAACAGCTCCATCTCAGAGGCTATGCTTTATCGCACACTAACATGCAACATGCATTTGTTCATGTCAGTAAGCCTCAAACATGTAAGCTATAATCTTTCTTAATCTGAGGGCAGCCTGCTTTCAGACATTTACAATGAGGAGGGATTGGGTTCGGCAGAATGAGGTGTCCACCATTTTTTAATTTGAAAAATGTTGTATTTTGACAACATTGCCAGCAGATAAAAAGGTGCATTCATGGAAGCTAATGTAAGGATGCACTTTTGAAATAATTACATATTTAGTGTAAACTAACTTTGCTTCCTTTCAACTGCTTCTATTGACGACAGAATATATTTTTATTGTATGGTTTAGTTGTATATATATTCTCATATATTCGACAAAGCCTGAAACCTTTTGCTTTAAAAACAGACTTGCAGGTGTGATTGTTTTCCCACTTAACCTTCAGTTGCATACTGTGATGTGTGGATTTGAGGATTTGATAGAGATGGTGGGTAACCTTATAGGCTTTAGTGTGGTATGGTAACCTCTGGTGTTTAAACTCAGCGCTGCGCTTTATTTGATGTTTTTATCTCCTCCACACAGGATGTACCGACGCACCTCCAACATGGTGGGACTCAGCTACCCCCCTTCAGTCATATCTGTGCTTAAGGTATTATCATGTGCGCACACATCCCAGCTGAAGCACACTGATATGAAATAACAACTTTGTCCACTTATGTGCCACGACTATATTACCTGAGTTATTTACAAGGATTTGATTTGCAGCGCCTTGCATATTATCAATGTTTTTGAGAACATGAATACATTGTTATTGGACAAGTTCAAAGCAATATTTGATTTTTTTCTTTTCTTCCCCATACAGCATGTTGACAAGTGGTCGTTTGACGTGTTCGCTCTAAATGAGGCCAGCGGAGATCATGCTCTTAAATTCATATTCTACGAGTTGCTCACAAGATACGACCTTATTAATCATTTCAAGGTAAAGCCACAAGGATATGACATACCTATATACATCCTGTATACTGTACTACTGGTTATTGCTGCACCTTTGTGACATTAAAACAAGAAGAAACAGAATGACCTTCACATTCCCCTTCACTTCCCTGTCTCTTAAGTGTTGGATCGTGTTGTTGTATTTTAACAATGACCTTATTATAAAGTGGGTTGGACACATTGTATCTCATCTGATAGTGGTGAAGCTCATTTGCCACCGCGTGCCATAGCTGAGGACACTCAACTTTAAGTGACAGCATCTTAAGAGTAAATGACACGGGCAATAAAGCCGACATGAATATGTAATTATAGTCTGCAGTAACCTAAATGATTCACGATCCATGAATTGATGACATCAATTTCAGATGCTGAGGGTGCTATGCGTGCATTGAAATGTTATGGGCTCATTATTTGAATAACTGAATAGACTTAAGACGGTTATTTTTAAAAGTATCCACAGTGTTTTTTGTTTTTTTTAGCTTGCATTCATTTGCTGTTGTTTTGTCTGCCATCAGATCCCAATCTCTGCGGTGGTGTCATTCGTGGAGGCCCTAGAAGTGGGATACAGCAAACATAAAAACCCCTACCACAACCTGATGCACGCTGCTGATGTCACACAGACTGTGCACTACTTGCTACTCAAGACTGGTATTGTGGTGAGTAGGATTTGACAGAACACAGACATGTTCAAAACCTACCGAAACCAATTGAACAAATAGGCGTTGGTGTGTCTCCCTGTGGCAAATCCAAGTCGAAGGAATCCTTTTATCCACATGATATTCAGAACATCTCCGTCAGCTGCCAGCTTAATGGCAACTTTGTCTGACAGGTTATCTTCTAAATATGGCTATTTTTTTAAGGGAACAAAATACAAGACATCTCAGTCTGCTCGGGGCAGGTTTAAAAACATCAACCCACAATTCTAAAATATCTGTCAAAATGTGACACAATTTGATTGAAATGTTTGCTTAACTTCTACTTTTCATATTTCATATTACTTTTGTTCTTTTTCCATCTGGTGACCTATATTCCACTGGAGTAACTTAGGGCCTTTCTGTTACTACATGTATTCCAAAAACAAACAAACATTAGCCTCGCTAAAGGCTAAGTCCCCAACCATCCAAGCAGCCGGCCGCCCCCGCTTCCATTGTTTTTATTTAATCACCTTAATAAGGTGGCTGCGACAGCTGTCGACATGGCGTGTTTCTCTGGGCGGTGCCTTGCAGAGTAAACCACATTACTGCGAGAACCACGGGCTCCTGGGGGAACAGGGGAACAGCATCTATCATTTTGCATGCCCTCCAGACTCCATTAAATCAATGATCAACAGGTCATTCATAAAGCCGGCCCCATGAGGAAATATACTGAGGGATGGATCGGCCATCTTGCTTCCCGACCCCCACCCCCTGTACTTAATGACTCCCTTATCCCCCACTGTTGATTAGTCACCAATATCGACTGGGTTTCCTGAGCTAAATCCCCACTCTGTGTACGCGAGTGCACTGATGCACATCTCAGAAGAGAAATACCCACTCACAGGTGTGTGAAACAGATTACAAATGTGCGGCTATAAATGGACATCTTTATCTTTGAATACAGTTGTTGGTGTTGCTCATATGATTAACCTCAGTTTGTCACAGTTTCTGTTCAGGAAAACTACTTCCTCAACCAAGACTTAAACTAGGAGATCAATACTACTCATAAATGCAGTATTCATTTGGCTAAGGATTAAATCTGTCGAAGAAAAATGAGGGGAATCCAATAACATTTCAAAATGTTCCTGCTGTCGTAAAAGTACCTCATCTGATCTTTAATTTGTCAACCTATTGGGAACAATTATGTTGATATGACACATTGTAATACAACACTACAACAAAGGTTTAAGTCAACTAACATGTGCCTGAACATAAGTTTGTACATTTATTAAGGAGTCAGTCATGTGAGTTTCCGGTCTTCATGCTTAGCTAACTAGCTGCTTGCTGTAGCTGCTTATTTACAGTACAGTGATAAGAGTGCTATCAATCTACACATCTCAATCTCTGAAAGAAAACCAATAAGTGTATTCCTCGCTGGACACCGTCTACCACGGTGCACTGAGATTCATCACAAACCTCAGATCCTTGACGCACCACTGCAATCTATACGCTCGTGTTGGATGGTCTTCCCTGACCACGCGTAGACTGAAACATTGGCACATCCTTATATATAAGGCTATTCTTGGTGCTCTTCCCCCTTATCTAAGGATGTACATAAATAGAAAATGCACAGGATCGTATCGGCTTCGCTCCGAGAACTTTTTCCTTTTAACTGAACCAAAGGTCCGTACTGAACTTGGGAAAAGGGCGTTCAGTTACGCTGCCCCTCAAGCTTGGAACCTGCTTCAAACTGAGCTGAAACTCAGAGAGCTGGTCTCATTAAACACACTCAAAGCAACTTTAACTGACCTTGAAGCAGGCCGCTGTGTCTGTAAATGCTTTGGCTACATTTGGTGTATGACTGTGTTGTGATTGTGTGTTTTTTAATTGTTTGTAACTGTAAAACTGTCTGAAACTGTGCTGTTACCATTCTTGGGCCAGGACTCTCTTGAAAAAGAGATTTTTAATCTCAATGATTTATCCTGGTTAAATAAAGGTAAAATAAAATAATTCCCACAAACCTTTAGCTATTGCTTAAGGAGCTGCTGCTACTTTCACATAGTCCTCTCTTTTGCTGTAATGATAAATCACATGTAAAAAAGTTTAACCCATTTATTCAAAAGCATACCTTGTATCATCACCATGTGACAGTATGACGTTTTCATTTATATTTGATAACAATGACAAACCAGACTGAGACTCTGGAGGAAAAGAGGACGTTTTAAAGTGACAGTTTAAAATGTGGTAGTCAATAGACCTCGCCTTATCCAAAGCTTCCTTTTTGCTTCTCTGACCTTTCCTCTATCGTCTCCTCCCCATTTGTTTCCTTTCATCCCTAACGGTAATATATTCCTCGTGCCAAATACTTCTCTCGGCATCCTTTGTTTCCCTTTTCTCCTCTACATCATGCTGCCGCAACAAACTGTTCCCTGCACTCCTTTTCTCAACTTACTGGCTTCTCATTTCTCTTCTCTCTTGTTTATTACTCTGTCTTCCCTTTTTCCTGTCAACGTCGACCCTGTCATTTCCATCTCGTTGCCCTCCTTCCTCTTTTATATACTAATATCCCCTTTTTCTTTTTGCATCTTCTCTCCGCAGCATTGGTTGACTGAGCTTGAGATCTTTGCCATGATCTTTGCGGCGGCGGTGCACGACTACGAGCATACAGGGACGACAAACAACTTCCACATTCAGACGAGGTAATGGATCATAAAATAAAAAATGCATGGCACTGACTCACCCGATCAATGTTTTCATTTGCAGCGAGAGGGCGTCACAGTCACACTGAGATCGCCTGCAGTGCTGTGCAGTAATAACACTCGGGCGGGACGGGAGTCCAAATGAACTCACAACTCTTGCCCTTGATAACTTCAGTTTGAAAGAACATTGCCCCAAACTCATTTCGTATAAATATAATAAAATGAACACTTTTTTTTTTTTTGACAAAGACTATCATCGTAGCCTTTTGCATTCTGAAACAAGTCCTTATTTTCACCCTAACCCCTTTTTATCCAGATTCCTTTCATTGAAATTGTTGAACTTCTAAAACCTTACGTAAATAAAGAACTTTTCTACGTCTTATGTTACACATTTATTCTTGCTCGACGAAATAGTAATCACATTTTTGATCTTGTTTCCGTGGGCAATTGTCAATGACATACTGAGGGTCCATACAGTAAATACATGGAGCCCCATTAGCTTAATGTGATTTGTATTGTTTGCATACTGTATGTCTTGACAATAGGAAAGTTGCTTTTGATATATTATTGGTACCGTAGAATGGCGTAGATGTTATGCATAAACCAATCATGGGCTTTGTTGTGTTGTTTTTGTGTTTGATGTTGTCCCTGAATAGTCTCCCTTTAGACAGCGGACTCCCTCAACGTGACACAATATACATTGAAGGAGTAGCCATTTTGAGGGGTCTATTATCTCTCTATAAGCTGTTCTTGCCAATAAAGACCTATAACTATTGCTCTGCTTTCTCTCCGACAGGTCAGACACAGCTATCCTGTACAATGACCGCTCTGTGTTGGAAAGTCACCACGTCAGCGCCGCCTACCGCCTGCTGCAGGAGGACGATGAGATGAACATCCTCTACAACCTCTCCAAGGACGACTGGAGGTCAGTGCGACAGATATGAGACAGACAGTAAGAGGAGGAGAGACGGGGAGGTGAAAGAGCTGAGGGACAGCAGCAGAAGATAAAACTCAGAGATTTACTAGTTCAAGTCAAATCGAGAGGCAGGTCAAACGGAACAGTTTCACAATGTACATATCGCCCCAACATGACCTTATCTCTCATTTTACAAGATTCACAACTGTGCTCAGTGGAGTGAACATCAGAAGAGTTGCATCACCTTCAAGGTCCAACAACGTTGTGCTAAATGGAACTGTTATGTATGATAATACATTAAAGAGAGAAAGTGGCAATCCGATTTCTTAAGACATAAGCTGGGACTTGTCAAAGCAGATATTATAAATAGCTCTCAAAAACTGTGTTGGCTGACATTACTTTTAGCCACATCCGAAATAAGTCGGCTTTTATTACCTGCGAGTTTGACGGTTCATTACACAGCCCATGGCTCGTGTTTTCCTCTTACTTCTCTCTCCTCTTTCCTCTGCTTTCCTCCAGAGAGCTGCGGGCTCTGGTGGTGGAGATGGTGCTGGCCACAGACATGTCCTGCCACTTCCAGCAGGTTAAGGTCATGAAGAACTTCCTACAACAGCCTGAGGGGTCAGTTCACTTCACTGCTGTTGCTTTTGTTGTTTTTCCTTTCCTACTGTTTACACTCTCTGACCTCTTCCCAGCAATTTGCATTCTCATTAACCCTGCCATGAGCCACTGTGTACTAACCTCCAGTTGTTTACAACCCAATTAACCCTGCCCTGAGGATGCACTAAAACACAACACACATTAATGTTTACATCAGATGGGGATTGGGACGATATCTGTTGCTCACGTGTTGTTTGCTCAAAATAAAAAAGGAAAGAGTATTTTGTAGCAACTAGAACCAGTGTCATGCATTGTTCAGTGCAGGTATACAGTAGGGTAATACTACATGCCCTCTCAGGCACAAACACTGCATATTGTGTGTGCTGGAAGTCTGCACAGGACTTCCACAAGAGTTATAGTGTAGTCACACCAGATTTGGCATGGTGAAATGTATTTGCTCACTGCGGTGAAATAACAGCCTGCAGCACAAAAGTTGCTGCCAGTTTCTCTGGCACACTATAGAAGGCTCGAGCTAAGATTACCTGCTGGAGAACATTAGCGTCCCAAAAGCTATAAAATATTCTGTTTCCCAGCACTAATATTCTGCTTCTTGTTTTCTGCAACACTTGCATACAACTTTCAACTTAAACTTTAATGTTTTTAAAAACATACTACTGTATAAATGACAACATGAACCCTAGTAGTACAGTAACTGCCTTTGCTTGAACCATTATCGGATCCTGGTTGCTAGAAGGAAAAATAATCATAATTTTGGTCACTGAGCGTAAATATTTACGCTTATATAAACTCTTCCTCTTGAAGTCACTAATATTTAATGATGTGAGCAAACATATTTTATTTAGGTCCTCTGAACAGTAGTATAAGTTTATCTTTGCTGTACTCGTTAATAAGCTAGCATGCCTGCCAAAAGGTAGATGACTAAAAATAAATAAATATGGAGAACATAACATGGAGCTCCTTGATAGCGCATGCCGTAACCACAACAACCTTGCCATGGGACCTTTCTGAATGTCTAACCCCTTTCCCCCTGTCCCAATTGTCAAGGCGTAGAACATTTGAATTAGGTACTGGTCCATTACAGAATTCCACTTCACTATTTAGGGCTGAACGATTAATCGATTTTAAATCGAAATCGCGATTTTAAATGATGCGATTATGAAATCGCAAAGCCTGCGATTTATTTTTAACATTTTTTTTATTTTTTTAAAAATTTTTTTATTGTGTGTCAGTCATCCACACCAATCAGAAGTGCTGTTCTCCACATGTACCAGCCATTGTCAATCAATCAGAAGTGGCCCATGATAGAAGGTGATAGACAGATTGATCCAATCACCTGCCAAGTGCTTTTGAAAGTGCCTGCCCTTTCCAAATGGCTTCCAATGGAGCTTTCCTAGATGGTTTGGTGAAACAAACCATCTGAGTCAGGTTAGTAATGCTCCATCACATGTTTCTATTACAGGGTGAATCTTAAACTGAAGCTTGACTTTAAAGCAACCCAACGGAAGTTTCATGTAAGTTTAGTTTTTTCACTCGTAGCTCGGGCTGCGGGGGTGCTAGAGACGGGAGTAAGTTGATACGACCTTCCTAGCCGGAGTTATGGCCGCATTTTACAATAAACTTCCGTTGGGTCGCTTAAAAACAAATATCGCAATTCGAATTGCAATCGCAATATTTGTCAGAAAAATCGCAATTAGATTTTTTCCCAAAATTGTGCAGCCCTATGAAGGATTCGTTACAGCAGTGTCCATTGACAAAGATTGCTGTTTGCTGTGTGTTTTCTAGGGAGTGTACCAAAGTGTTCTGTGTCAAATAAAAACGTTACATTGCAGAAATAAATATTCCTTGCAGAACAGAACAGCCCGACTGCCAGTACTTCCTTTTCACACATTTTAATCACAGCACTTTCTACAGTGACTGATAGCCGGGCCTGCTCTACATGCAGACAAAAAAAAAAGCAGATTGCAAAACAAAAGAGAGCTATCAAGCAAACTATCATATGACGAGATGAGTCATCACTGCTGATGGAGCTGCAACGCTTACGAGAGAAAGCTGGAAGAAACTCGTTGACCTTGGGGTATTTCTTTTCACTGTGATATCGCGCAGCACTCATCATGATTTAGAAAAATGCTCAGAAAGCAGTGATGTGGCGATAAGCAGCTTCCTGAGAAACACATGTACGAATCAACAACATTGAGATTCCTGCTTATGAGTATATCTTATAATTCAAAGAGTGCTGACAGGAAGGTAATCACCAAGCTACGTAATAGGGTACACACACAAGTGCACATAAACAAGATTGCAGTCTGCAGGAAGCTGTATTGCTGAATAGACTTTAATGTAAGGTAATTCAAGCCGGTCTGCTCCAGGCCTGCATTGAGTGCTCTTTAAGACCCAATCTGCCGCAAATGGAATGAGGGGAAATTTGAGCCAGTCTTTCTCACCTCTGTTTAACCTTGTGCAGTGTGTGTGTGTGTGTGTGTGTGTGTGTGTGTGTGTGTGTGTGTGTGTGTGTGTGTGTGTGTGCGTGTGTGTGTGTGTGTGTGTTTTCAGTCGTGTGCCTATTTCCATTTTGGACTGTGTCTGCTCATTCATGCGCCAGTCCATTTAACATGATATGTTGATATGGTTATTATCAGGTGATATCTCAGACACCACTGATGTCTGATGAGGTGAGATGATGCGTCTTCACACTTGTTCCAGTGTGGAGAACCGATTTGCCTACCGCAGGCAGTATGATGGGGAATCGTTTTTAAAAATATATTTTCAGATGGAAGTTTCTCTGTCTATAGATGTCTGTGTTTCAAAGCCCATGCTAATAGATGACAATTTATATTGCCTTTTCTTTTGAAATATTAAACCTGCAATGGTGAGTTTATACTCCATCTGCTACTCTGTTGAGTATAATCATTTCAACTGCTACTGTATATTACACAGTAGCAGTTAAAATGATTGGTGCACATGTTACACTAGGACAGTGGTTCTCAAACTTTTTCTGTCAGGCCCCCCCTTTGGAGAAAAAAAAAAGTCGGGTCCCCCCAACACAAGTCAGTCTCAGTGGCGGCGCCAGATATTTATTTTGGGGTGCTGTGGGGTAGCTTGACGTTTCATAGAGGGTGCTCAAACATTTAGGGTTTCCCATTAAAGTACCGGTCGCTACAGTGGAATTTTCTACTGCAACACTCCCCACGCAAATACACAGTGTGACAGTTACAATGAAGGCTCGAGGCATATAGGTGTAAGCAGGGGTAAAGTGCTATTTGTATAGGTGGTGTGTGGACCTCACATAGGGGGGTCCGGGGACAAGCTTCCCCGGGAAGATTTATTTTTAAATGTTGAAGTTAAAAGCATCAATCTGGTGCACTTTGAGAGCAAAATGAAGAGATCTATGGATACATCTCTCAACACCCATTTGAAACAGAACTGTAAACAGATTTACTATTTCTTTATGGATATTTTACAAATCACCCTTTTAAACTTTATTCTTTTTTTACTGTCATATAGTAGCTATTTCATACCTGTTTTTCATTTATTCTCTTATTTTTTTATAACTATAATGATCATATACACGTGTGCCTCGGAAATAATTGTTTACATTAATGGTGACCAAAACGTTTGAGACTCACTGAGATAACTTAGACTAAAGTTAACTTTCTAAACACTGAGAGAGTCCTTTAGCTCACTGAGGCTCTCAGTCTGACAGGAGAGGACTCTCCTCCACTTTGTTGTTGAAAAAAATCCTTATATCCGTTAGCGTAGCTCGCTAGCACCAGAAGCTAACATCAACGATCTCCGGTACCGGTGCGCTCTCTCTCTCTCGCTCTCTCTTTAATGAAACACAGAGACCCAGACGTAATAGTACTGTACTGCATCATATTATTTTCGAATCAATAATTTTTCAATTTATGATTTTTTTTTTTTTTTAATCTTTTTTTTTTTTTATATAGCCATTTTTCCTCCTGGTCTCCCTGGCATGCCTCTGCGCCCCCTAGAGGGGGAGCACCCCCCACTTTGAGAACCACTGCACTAGGATAATAGGTTTTACATTTCAACCAAGTCTATTATAAAACAATATCCATGCACATTGACTGTGAGTTGATCCCTCTCTCAGAGACTCCAATGTAAGCTATGGGGGATATCATCTGCAGTTATTTTGTGTAAAAAAAATGCATTTTAATTATGGTCAAAGCTAACAAAAGTATTTGAGTTAGCCGAATGAGGAAGTTATCTTTTGTCTTAATACATAGGTCTACTGCTTTAACTGAAGAATGTATGCCTAATGTTGATACATTTTTTAAATGGGAAAAGTAGATACTTTACTGAACATACAAGACTGTGAAAACGTTTCTCTCCTATGAATTTTTAAACATTGTGTTGGAGCTGTTCTTGCACAGAAAGTCATTTTTTGTGGACAGATTGATGGAAAAACATTCGCAGCTGTGCCACATTTTTCCCATTTCTTTTATGATTGACCCTTCAGTCTTCAGAGACGCTCAGTGTTTCAGAAATGTTCTTGTATCCTTCCCTTGCTTGGTATTTTTCAATAACCTTGTTGCAGGTTTTATGTTGAAGATGTTTGACTTCACAATTTAGATTACTTATTGTAGTCATTAGTCTGTAGTCATTAAGGTGTCATATTAATAGGCTTCGTGCAGGATTCATTGATTAACAGTTGAATATCTTGGTCTGCTTTGCAGCATTGACAAGCCCAAAGCCCTGTCCCTGCTGCTGCACACGGCAGACATCAGCCACCCGGCCAAAAGTTGGGACCTCCACCACCGCTGGACCACCTCTCTACTGGAGGAGTTCTTCAGACAGGTCAGTGTGTGTTCTCGGACCGGTCCAAGTGTTCCAAAGAGGCTGTAGTACAGCGGATAAGCACAACAATTGTGCATTTTATGAGAAAAGCATGACATTTCTAGCATAGTTAGTGCATACCATAAGGTTTATTTTCAGATGTGGAGGGAAGTCAGATTTGACCTGTGAGGACCGTGAGAGGTCAAATCCAAGATGACCGCCAGTCTCTCGGGTCAAATGTTCAAACACGCTTAATTTTGGAACCAAATATTGTAGAAAAACATTTAAGGTGTCATATCCAACTAAATTAGGGATGCCCAATCATTTGGTGATACCTTTGAGGTTGCCAGAATTCAAGAAAATGTATTTAGGTGAAGATAAAGGTAGAAATTGACCAAAAATAAGCTTTCAATCAGTTGAAATTTGCAAAATTGCAAATTATTTTGTGTGTGTGTGTGTGTGTGTGTGTGTGTGTGTGTGTGTGTGTGTGTGTGTGATATCAACTTATCATCAGCTTGATACATGACATCAAAGTAACAGTCAAATCCAAGATGGCCGCCAGGCCTCTGTGTTTAATGTCCACGTTTTTTTAAATGTTGGAACCAAACGATGTAGAAAATAATGTGTCATTTCCACCTAAATTGGGGATGCCCATTCATCTGATGATACTTTTGAGATCGCCAGAATTAAAGACAATTAATTTAGATCAAGGACAAGGTCAAATTACATTAAAAACTTTTGGAAATGTGCTTCAATTTTGAAACTATAGAGATAATAATACAAAATAATAGACCCATGGTGCTAGTCTATTTTAATGATGATAATAATACAGATCTAAATTTAACATTCTCCAGAACAGAAACATAGTGCAGTCCACTTCAGTGCAGCTTTGGCACACTTGCATCGTCCAGTGCACCCTTTCTGGCAGCGACAGTGGATCAATTCATGGCACGATTTTGATGCTTCAGGTAGAGTGGTCCAAAGTGACTGCCACCCAGTTGTTTCCTCTGTCCAGCCCCAGTCAGACGGCTCTGGCATCTCTGGATCCAGGACCAATGCCTGGTTCCAACAGTTGGCCTGGTAGCAAGTGCGCTTGATATGCTGCCTGGGTTGGAGGAATGTTCTCTAGAGATCTAGACTTCTGTGTGAAGAGCTGTTTCCTGGCATCATTCACCTCCATGCTCTCACTGGTTCGGTCGTACATCAGCACCACAAATCGCTCCAGCAATAACATTGATCCTTCACTGACCTCACTTGGCATGCATAGGAGTTCATTGAAAGCACCAGTCACCTCTGGGAAAGACTTCCACGTTTCCCAGGCAGTCTTCTTCCCTCTGCCAGCGAAGGCAGAGACGGTGTCACACCCGGTGAAAGCGTGAAGGACTGGGAGAGTCAGACACTTTGTTGGATTCATTGTGGCAACAATTTCATGAACAGCTATGTAGTGAAAGCTTGATCCAACACCAAAGGCAACCCACAGCTCATCAGGAGCTATTTTGCTGAATGAAGCCACAGCCAGTACCACCACATCGGTATCAACTGTACGTATGGTCACCTTCTTACAACCCTTTTGCACAGCATCTGCCACATGCAGAAGCAGACGAGTGTCTGCCTCCTCTTGAGAACACGGGGCAAGGCAGGCTAAGTAAGACTCAGCAGGAGAGCAGAGGACTCCACTTCCATCTGTTGCATACAGTTCCTTGCCCTCTGCGAGAAGAAGATGAACAACTTTGCGAGACAGGAAAGCAAACAAGTCGGTTTTGTTCTCATCGCATCGAAGAAAGTCCTTCCAGTTCTTTGGCATCACAGTAGAAGGAGCCACCCTTTTCCTGATGCCCTTTCCCCTCTTTTGTCTGGTTGAGGCTTTCAGGCTGGCAGGTAGGTATACATCCCAGACAAGGTCAATGCGGCTGATTTTCTCAAGTTGAGCAGAGATGAATGGTGTAAACACTCTATCTCCATACTCTTGAAATGTTCTTGATGTTCCAGGATTTAACATTTGAACCACAGCTGCACCATCGGAAATTGTTGCATCAGCCATAGGTACACACTACTGTTTTCAAGCAGATCTGATTCTAGGCAGCGAAGTAGATCTGCTTTAACTCCAATCCGAATTTTGCCTCCAGTTGACAGAGCTGGTGGGGATCCCTGGTTTTCATGGTAGAAGAAATTGTCGATGTCTCCATCTCGTGTTTGACAGGAGATGTACAGCCTCGAAAAGAGACCACAGTCACTCTTCAGTGCTGCAAGCTGTGCCTTTTGTTTCAACTTCATCTTGACCGGTGGCCTACTGAACAGTGGCAACTTGTTCTTTGGAAGTGTTTGTGTGACAGGTGTTGTACACTGTTCTAGCCTCTCTTTCACAAACGTGGTGTACTGCTCCTCACCAAGGGTCTCGATCCTTCTCACAGTTTCAGCCACTTTGATGTCCATGATGTCCCTTGTGTCAATGACTAGTAAATCTTGGCTGTGTTCTAGGAATGGATTTCCCATCTCTTCCAGCACTGTCACAAGTGCTTTAACTTCCTTCAGAAATGCTGCTTGTACGCCAGGTTGCTGGTCGTGATGACGGTGCCCAGTGTCACTAGCACTATGCTGTTGCTCAAACTCTGTAGTGATCCTGGAAATTTCTGGCCCTGCTACCATCCAGCGTCTAAGTGCTCCTGGATTGCCAGTCAGTCCAATAGCCCCACCAGAACCTTTCACCATTGCATTGTTCTGCCCATGGCACTGGTCGAGTGCCATGGCAGAGAACTTGTTGCTGGTTTTGTGCACCACAAAATGTCCAGACTTGAATTCTGCTAGGACATGTGGATGTTTTTCAGCGAGAGTCATCATATCACGGATGTGTACGGAAAGCCATCTGGAGTAGTGTGTGTGATCTAGGGCAAACATCCAGGGCAAGATCTGTGTCAGAGATTCCACGTACAGCTGGAAGTTACCTTCACGAAGTGACCTGATGTACCGCAGCAAGAGAAGCTCCAATGACAGGGTCTTTAGCCAGTAGTCAAAGTGGACACTGGCCTTTGCTCGCTGTATGCACCACTCCTCAAAAGGCAGTCTATCAGGTTGCATGGCATTAGAGTCATCAGGTGTGCAGTCTTCACTGTAAGCTTGTTGGAGGAGTGTATAAAGGCTTGCAGCTGTGAGCTGGTGCGCATGGCGGGTCTTGGTGACATGGCTGGCATGTATGAAGGAATTTGCTGTTCCGGAACTTGCAATGTCAGCCTGTACCAGGGTGTTCGTCCAGCCACTGTCTTCCAGCCAGTCTCCCAGCAACTTCAACATGGCCATCTCAATGTGTAGACCACCGAACATGATCACAAAGTGATCCTCTCCATAAGTGGCTGGCCAGGTCCACTGGACCTCCTTAGCAAGAGCATACAGTGGTTGGTCAGCTGCAAGGACGGGAATCTGACCAGGGTTCACGTGCTGAACTGCTGCCTTGACGATGTCCATGGAGTGACGTATCATTGCCACTGAGTGTGCATTGTCAAGAAACAGAGGCAATAGTGCGGTTATTGCTGCAGGTGGGATGACAGCTTGGTGCGCATCAGCGTGGTAGGCAGACCACGATATCCAGCCATCCATGGTAGACTTTTCAACAGCTGTCTTGACTTTGCTGAGCCATGCATACATATCTTCTTTGGCAGCTGCAGCAGTCAGGAGGTTGGGAGGTCTCACAGGACCTTGTACAGCCGGCGCACTGAAGACCTTTGTCTTTAGGGCTGCTGGTGGCACAATTGTGTAGGCTGATGGCAGAGGTGTCACTGACTTGGTGGAATAGCCACCCTGACCAATCACTAGGACACCACGATCAGCTCCACCATGTGTGTGTGACGGAATGCTGCATAAGTGAGATTCCGGTGCCGTGGAAGGAATCTTTGGCTGTTGCAGAACTTGGATTGTGGTCGATGTTGTCCACAGCTCCTGTTGTGAACAGTCCATGACGTAGCTTTGGTGGGCACACTACATCTTCCACCCTAAAGCTCTGGCAGACACCATTGGCAATGTCTGATGTGAGTTGCAACAGCCTGTCATAGGAAACACACAATCCCAGATTGAACAGTGTGTCAACCAGCCTTCTACTTCGTGTTACTGCATGGATCTTGAGGGACAGATAGAGTGGGAGTGGAGTTTCTTGGCTGCGGCTATGACGTGCTGAGCTTGGTGAATCCACGTTTCATGCGTGCTTCACACTGTTGAACACCATTAATTGGGAGATTGTTAGGGCAGGTTTTGTGGTGGCTGTGTGGACCAGCTGAGTTTGATGCTTGATGTTTGCCCCATCGAGTATCATGTTGACTAGAGCCAAGAGGGATGGTGGCACAGCCTTCTGCTGACAGTTTGCCTTGAATGACCCATCAAAGGAGAAACCTGACTCAAACATCTCTTTGCGCACCACCTGTGCTGCTCGCATTAAGTGTATGGCATCACTGTCATGATGACATGCCATCATGAGGGCTGGTCCAATGTCCTTCTCAAAACTCAGAAGTGTGTCTCTTCCCTGTGAATGTGCTCTCAGATGAGGAAGCGCAGAAAGCAGTCGGTTTTTCAATCTGGTGGTGTGAATTCGTTTCTCTACAGTCAGACCAAGTTGCTCCAGTCTGATCTTGTACAGCTGAGCGATGTCTGTCAGTTTAAAGACAGGAGCACTGTCCTCATCACTCTTCATGTCTTCCAAGTATGCCACTCGCTCAGCAAAGGCTATACCATGCAGGCAAGAATCATCTCCTTCATTGCCTTTGGGTGCAGCCTGCCTGGCTCTGTTGTACAGTGAACGCAGACAGTGGTGATGGTACTTGGCCTCAATGGCAATCATGTCTCCTGCTGCAAGCTTGGCCAACAGAGCAGTTTCCTCAAGTTCAAGGACACACTTCCGCACATTTGTGTCAATGTTGTAGGTTGATGAATTATGTAAGTCTGCAGAACCAGCAGGCTCATTGCAGAAGAAACAAGTAGGCTCTGTGGACTGTGGATGGCTGTGAGCAGATCGTGTATGCACAGTAGAGGTACTTTGTTGTTGTCCTGTAGTTAATTCTCTAGGACTTTGTTCGTCAAATGCCTTTTTGTTGAATTTTAGCCGACATTTATTGTGCCACTCAGCCCTGTGTGCCTTCAGAGTGTATTCTATGCCATTCACATCATCCAATCGCTCCAGGTTGAGGTCCATTGGCATGTGCTGAAGGGTGTGGAATCGGAGAATGTCTTCTGCCAGGGATGCATAGCCACGATCAATGGGCTGTTTCGTTGATCTGAATGGACACTGTAAAGATTCATCTGTAACTACTTGACAGAGGACAAAAATGTTCCAGTTAGTGCTGGGGGGTGGCTTGGATTGCTTGGATGTAGAGGGCTGGGTCGGGTCTATCAGGATGTGACGCTTCGACATGGTTACAACAAAATCACCACTGCAGGAGAGAGGATTCTGAAACCACAAATAACACAATATTAGTACCATACCACATTACATCTAGGGTATTTTCTTAACCCTCCCGTTGTCCTCGGGTCAATTAACCCGCCACTGTGTTTAACAGCAGAGAAAAAATCCCCTAAATTATATTGTGTCTTGAAAATTTGAACTTGAAATTTGATGACTTTTCCTAGATTGTCAGTTCTGCCCGTCAAAGAAGGACTGTAAATCACATACCGTGTGCTGCAGGTGGAATAAATATATCTGCAAAGGCTGTGCACTGCATACTGCCCTACATGTGCTACTTAGTTGACTGAGTTATGTTGTTTGGTTCACATGTTCACATTTTTGTTTTGTATATTGTATTACATTGTTTACTGGCCAAAAAAAACCTAACTTATTGGGTAAAAAAAAAATGCATTCAAAACTTCTGCTACTTTGTTAGGCTATTATATGGAAATACTATACAAATATTGCTTACCACCAAACAGTATAAAATAATACAATTGACAGTGTCATAAAAACGAGTGGTGTCTCCTGAATAAATGTTGTCTTTCTGCCATGTGAAGAGGGAAAACTCAGGTATTCACAGAATTTGTGGTCAATGAAAGTCATTTCTTCAGGCAAAATAGAATTGATGTTTAACATTTAATTATGCTGCTGTATATTGGGGGTTTAGTGAAGGCGGGTAATTTTGACCTGGAGGAGATGGGTGTATACAGAACATGAGGACATCACAATGGTTAAAGGTAGGGTAGGTAAGTTTGAGAAACCGTCTCGAGATCGCTAGAATTTGAAAATACACAACCGGAGAAAATCTGCCACTTCCTTATAGAGCCCCTTAAGGCACGAGATAAGTTTGTGCACAGATGGAAGGCTGACAGGCAGGTAGGCCATCCAGTTATTTTAGTCGGGCCGGCTAAAATGATTGGTCGTGCTTTTTACAGCACTACGGCTTCCACAGATGACATTTTTTAATGGATATTTTGTCAAAGCACTTCAGATATTCATTGCTATCGGGATGTTAAGAGCATTCCATGGAATATAACAAAAAGTGTATCTCGAGCCGGTTTCTCAAACTTACCTACCCCACCTTTAAGTGAGGTGGATAACCACGACAATTAGCTAGTTAGCATTGGCATACTTATTGGCCGGATGGCTATTTTGTAATAGTAGCCTAGCTACAGTACATAGCCAACTGATGTGAGATAGATAACTAGTTAACTTAGCTAACTCTAACTTCATTATCATATCATTGTATTGTAAATGTTTACAAAATAAAACACATATACTATACCTTTTCACCTGAATTCAAAATGATGAGTATGATGACTGGTTTTGCTGATGCCTGCTGGTTGGACTGCAGTATCCTGCTTGGGTGTCAGGAAGCGTTACTATGCAGCCGCATAGCAACGGGTGGGTGGAGCCAACCGCTGCCCACCCAATCAACCACTGGATGTTCATTTACAAATTTCAACTGATTGACAGCTTATTTGTTGGTAAATGTCTACCTTGTCCAATTCAGTTGGAAATGACACCTTAAATTATTTTCTACATCGTTTGGTTCAGCACATTTCCAAAAGTTTTTAATGTAATTTGACCTTGTCCTTGATCTGAATTAATTTTCTTTAATTCTGGCGATCTCAAAAGTATCATCAGATGAATGGGCATCCCCAATTTAGGTGGAAATGACACATTATTTTCTACATCGTTTGGTTCCAACATTTAAAAAAACGTGGACATTAAACACAGAGGACTGGCGGCCATCTTGGATTTGACTGTTACTTTGATGTCATGTATCAAGCTGATGATAAGTTGATAGCTCTCGAACATCCCCTAAAATGGCATTTTTCTCTTGTCCCCGCTTCTTGGTGACCAACTTGCATGTCAAATATAACATTTAAAATAGGGATTTTATTTACTTTTTTTGGCATTATTCTATTGATATATGTCTCTTGTAATGGTAAAAATCAATTTGTTAAATCATAAACATATTTTAAATAACAGTAATTTTGCACTGAAGGTGTGTCCCTCAACATGCGTTCAACCCTGTTACCCAAACCTTTTTAGATTGGCAGAGGAAGTGAAAAAACTGTAAGTCAGATGACACAGTGGAAAGGACATCAGCAAGCCATGTGCTAGTGCCATGGGTAGACCAAAACTAAGTCCTCTCTTTATTTTTCATATTTTTACAATCTTTTCAGTCTTAAAAGAGTGTGGCACTCTGACCTACTCAACCCTGTTACTGATATTATCAGAATAAAGCATATTAATTTGAATTTCAAAGTTATCTTTCTTGCATTAGATATCCAAGTTTGTCCTTGCCTTGAAAGTAGCATTACATGCTACATCTAGCAATAATTCCTGAGGTTAAAGCTCAAATTAGCATTGATTTTCAACCCTGTTACTATAATTAGAGTAACAGGGGTAATTCTTCATTGGAAAATATACATTTGATGCCTAGCTGGGCAAATCACTTTTTTTGATGGTTTATTATCTGTTTTTCCTAAATACATTAAAACAAATTATAAAATAAAAGGTTCATTTTTCAAAAATATTGGTGTCTAAATTGTCCTCCAATTCTGGAATGACGCTTATATACTTTGGCCTCAAAAGTTGAGATGGAAAATTCTTGGCTTTCATGTCACACCTGTGCTTTTCCTGCAATGTGAAAAAGAGTCTCTATTGGACGAGCTGTTGAGAAACTATTCTCTTGGGAGGATTGCCAAAAAATGAAACACCTATTTTGAAATGGATTCAAAACATCCTCACAGTAGTACACTTTCAATACTTGTAGCCGCTCCTTGTGTGCTGGTTGCAACAAAAACTGCTATTAGTTTTCAATGTGTGTTCAGACTATGTTTACAATAATGATTGATTGATTTAATATGGTTCTTCTGCATAACTCTAGCCCCCAAAGCACTGCAGTCATATTTATAAGTTTAATTGCAGGCACTCTGCTCGTTGTCATCATTAAAAATCCTGCCATTACTTGGCTCCATGGCAGATTAAAATGTAGAACATTAGCTCTTTTTTAAAACAATGCATTCGGCTATAAATATTAGATTGTGGATTTGTTTGTCAAAAAGAAGGACAGGGGTCTAACTGGGGCCACATTGCTTTCATCTCTTCCATTATTAATCCACATTGTTCTCATTATCAGTGCTATTGTTATTGTGGCTTTTTTCACGAGGCCTTTATCTCCCGGGATACGAATCTCCGATAAATAGCTCCTCCAAAGAACATTGCCTCCCGACTCCACATCTCATCTCTTTGTGACAAAAAAATCAGGGGGAGAAAATGAAACACATTTGTGGCACAAAAGCACTCGGGGCGGGGGGCCAGACAAATCCAAAGCCTGATGATAGAAGTGTGAGTGTATGCCGTATTATGTCTGGAGGCTGCGGCACATTGTTACAGAGAAACTAAGATCGGCTCTGACCGAGGTGGCTGCTGTATTTTCAGGGGGACAAAGAATCAGAGCTGGGCCTGCCGTTCTCTCCGCTCTGCGACAGGAAGTCAACAATGGTGGCCCAGTCCCAGATCGGTGAGTGGCTTCTGCATCTTCACTCTCATATTTCATGCTGCCAAATAGCAAAAAAGGACAGAGAACAGTGTATTTAATAGAGACCTGATTTATGATAAAGTTGCCTCCGTTCTTCAAGCTTATATTTTATGGGTCTTTCTAGAATAAATATAACATGTCACTGAATGTTTTTTTGTTTTGGCTGCATGCAGAGGTTGTGGCAGGGAAATCGTCACCTTTTGCAGGATAGGTTTTCTGGAATCTGTTTTTTTTTTTAAAAATGTATTTGTATGTCTTTGTACTTTTGGGCACATTATTGATATTTCACAATCTCTCTTTGCCTAGGCTGTTTTAGGTAGTTTGATTATGGTGTCATATCTCTGGAAATGAACCAGAATTGTATTTTGGTTACTGCAGATTGACCCCGTGGCTTACTGCTCTTTATAAAGTGAGCATTGAGCTTCCCTCTATGCCTTTCTTATGCCGTGTATGTGCATATAATAACAAGATGATCTTTCGACTAGGTCCGTAACTTCATCTTCAAGAATTCTCCGTTGTCTTAGAGAAAAAAAACGGTTTCCATTAGTTCAACGTTAGCAGTGTCTATTTGTTTCTCATGTTGTCTTAGTTGCAAACATCCCCATTGATCCCTGTCTAAAAATGTTGAGGTTTTTCTTTAATGTAATTTCTGAAGTCCATCAATCCATTGCGACATTTTGAAACGCTCACCTTGATAATCATTATTAACATTCTTAATATTAAGAATGCCAGCGTTACAGTGATTCTTCGGGTCTTTTACACACCCCAGTCTTCATTATACAATATAAACACCTACATCAAAATATATTGATCTATAAACTGGTTTGCTGATATCTTTGTCACTAGGGTTCATCGACTTCATCGTGGTGCCCACCTTCACTGTGCTGACGGACATGATGGAGCGGATCGTCAAACCGCTCATCGACGAGGCCTCCCATGCAGGTGTTGCCGGCTTTAGACGCTCAAGGTAGGTTTCAGCACTTTCTCTAAGAAATCATTTGCAAACAAAAAGTGTGCATGCTGCTCAGTAGCAGGACTGAGCAGATGGAAGTGGGTGACAGTATGCAAATCTGGGCACATTTTAATCAAGCAGCCAGCTTAATCAAGGATGGAAAATCTACTGTTTTCTACCCTTCACCTCTCATACCTGTCTGAGTAACTGCTGGCTCAATGACGTGATTAAACCTCAACATCTCTCTGCAATAACAGCATATCTAATGGCTGAATGGAGAACAGCAGATGAGTCTCCCATGAATAATCAATTTATGTGCTTGGAAATGTCTCCACCTTTCATTTGAGCAAAGCCACACACCTTGAAATTGACATTTTAGAGATGCTAAACTCTTCATCCCGTCTCATCTTCTCTGAGAAATAAAGTGGGCTTCATTGAAGGTTTCGCAATCACAAAAGTCTCTCCTGGTACAAAACAACGTCTTTTTGCATTCACCGGCTTAATTAATTGGCTGAGTACTTTCCTTTCTCCCGCATACTTAATCAGGTATGTGCAAGGCTTTGAAACCATGCTAATAAGAACGTAAATTCGACTTACTCTGGCATTACTTTTTAAACCATCCAGAGAAAGGTAATTAAATATAAGTTAAGACTGTAATTAGTATCTTTTAAAGTGAGACTTTTTGAAAAAACACAGCAGTACTTGGAGAGTCTGGCTCTTCATCTTTCGTTGCACCTGCACATCAATACCAGCCTCAACTGCAGTCATTAGCATCACTCAGTGACTCCAACCCAAGTTAACGGCGTGGAAATCTCAGAGAGTGTTACCATTTGTTCTCTCTCCTTGGTATCGTACACACCTGGGTGCTTATGGACTTTCCTTAAAATGTATAGCTGTTTTCAATCATCTTTAACTATCTGCCTTCCTGGCCTGCTTCAGATTATCTACCTGTCTTTCTCTCTTCTTCTCTTAATGTGCCTCTGAATCTGAAAGCGCATGATATTTTTAGCAAATCTAGGAATAGAAATGTCAGTCTGTTGATCTGTTGGTCCTCCAACAGACATGTGTGAGGACATGAGAGGAATTGAAAAAAACTAATCCGTAAAAGGAACACACAGAAATGTCCATAAAGTTGTGTGACTCACAAGAGACATATTTGGAAAGATAATGGACAGAATTGAAGCCGCACAGGGCGAAATATCCTGTATTTAGAACAAAGTATGGGCTTTCATCATACGCATGCCTAAAATACCTACTTCTTTTATAATATTATTGTAAAGCAGGCCTCTTTTAAAGATATAGATTCTCAAACCACGCTCTGAAACTTTCTAGAGCTCATCCCAGAAGAACAAAATACAATGTTAAACTCTTTTCAATCTGATTAGCTGAGTAGCACTCAATACTTAACGTGTGAAAATAGGTAGGTGCTCCTTTAACTTTTCAATTGGTGTCATCTCGAGGCGAAGAAACAAATCTGCTCTTGTTTCTGGATAAATGACTTAATCCTGGGAGAAGCTCTCACCTGTGTCTGGTTGCGTCTCCAACAGCGCTTTGTAAACCGCACTATATTCAATCGTTCTTTTATTGAAGACACCAGTAGCTCCAGTGTCTCAAACCTAAATTCCGTGAAATTGAGCTCTCAAGTTAATTAGTGCATCTTTTGGGTATTTGAGATATCTCGTTCATTCAGAAAAACAAGCCGATTTTTTAACACACAACATGTTCTCTGAGTTTTAAGGTAATCTTGTTAATTCGGAAAGAAATACAGCAAATATATTCCTTCAAGTGAATGCATTCCACTTCTTTAACTTAAACGACCTTCCTTCCCTTGGTTTCCTGTCCAGTCTGAACAGTATTAGCTCAGATGAGACCAAGAGGCACAGCAGCTCGTCGGGACAGAGCTCTCTGCTGATGGTGGACCTGAAGAACTTCAAGGCTCTGTGGAACGAAGAGGTTTACCAGAACAGAGAGAGGTGGAAATCTCAGGCTGCTAAAGGTACAGTACACCCTTACAACAACCAACATATCATACAGGAAAAAAAGGCCTTTTGGGGACTGTCCTGGTAAACCTGATCCATCTGAATAGATCATGAGATTCACAATGATGGGGATGTATTTTTCATAAAGCTGCAATGCTCTTAACATCTGCAAAGCTTAGCTTACAGAGAGGGTGATTTTAACTGACCTGCATTCGTTTGGGATATTCACAGAACAGCCTGTCCTCTTGCATATGTTTTTATTTTAATATTTACATAATCAAGATGGCACCACTTTTGTAATCAAGCACCCATAAGTAGGAAGAAACAGCCCAATACATAGTTTTATCCTCTGATTATTATCTGTATGCAAAACCTATTGCTTGTAGTGATAATCAGTTTCAGCTCAGGTTTCCAGCCGACTTTAATGTTTGGCTAACTTTCACCAACAGAATCTGTTCCTCCAGCAAAAAAGCTTCAGAAAACCCACTGTAAACTTCCTGCTCTGCACCAAACAGCAGGGACACAGTAAGAGAATAGCTAGTGTGCACAGTGGAGCACGTAGCAGCTTAGATCCAGATATTTCCCTCAGGAGTTCATAGAAACAAACTCAACTCTGAATGAATGCGGATGTTCCTCCTTAATTGCAGGATGTGTAAATAGGCAGCTGTTTACTATGTCAACTTAATGGTGATTAATGTGTCTGCAGGTTGTTTCTGCTGCCCCCAAGTGGCCAAAAACTAAGTCATTAAAGGTTTAGGTAAACAATCATAGAAATGTTATAGAAATATGTCTTTTATCAGGTCTGAAACAGAACAAATATCTCAGACTTTACTAGTTTTAAAGGTCACTTATTATGCAAAATCCATAAAATAATTGTATACATAAACATGTGTTCCCTCTGTGTAAAGACATTCTGAAAGTTTCAGGAAAAAAGATTCTCTCACTTTTTGTCCTGATCCATTAATATACAAACCTGTCTGAAAATGAGCTGATCAGATTTTGGCCGCTTTGTGATTTTTTTGGCTTGAGTAACCATTAGCCAATCACCTACCAAGGTAACCCCCCCCCCCCCGCCCAGCTTATCACCCTCCTAGAGCACCATTGTGTTCTTTTCAACCAAATAACTTGCAGAGGGGCGTGGGGAGGGGCTCCTTATTTTCATGTAAAGTAACTTTTGAAACAGGGGTGAAACAGAGGGGATTATGGGATACTACAATGATCTGCTTGGTGTTTGGAGCCAAACACTTCAGAGACCTGTTTTGTATATATGTGAGACCTATACTGTAATATATTGATGAAAAACAGTATAATAGGGGACCTTTAAGTTAGATAAGTGAATGCAGACTCATATGCTAACATGCCCCCCACCCCCCATGTGACCTCAGAGGCGGAGGAGAGAGCTAAAAGGGATCTGGAGGAGCAGGCCCAGCAGGAAGAAGCCATGGAGCCCCGGGAGGTCCAGACAGAACCAGAACAGCCTGAACCAACGGAGGACCAACCGGAGGGGGAGGAGCCGGGGTCAGCAGAGGTCAGCCAAACACCAGATGGTAACACGGAGGAACCGGAGCAGGAAGCGCAGCCGGAGAGCCCCTCACTCAAGAACCCCCCCCTGCAGAACGGTGCGGCCCTTTCACCGTTAAATCCCAGAGCATGATGTGACAGATGGAGATGTATAAGTCCTAAATGATCCATAGGGACAGTCAGCATGTTGCAATGAAAGTAAAAGATCTACAGTGAAAAAAATAATCCTGTGTGACTCTTATATAAATGGGTTATAGCAAAGTGTATAGGAGATGTGTATTTATGTTATACACCATTTGTCAAGCTAAAGAAAATGGCTTTTAATCAAAGTTACTGTTGTGTTTTATTTAAAAACTCTTTTCAACTTTTTCTTTTCATTTTTTTTTTTCATTTATTCTTAATGTTTTTTTTTAAGTTGTATTATTTTCTATGTGTTTTACTCTATGTTTTTATGTTGAGATGCTGTTTATTTCACTCGCTCTCTGTTTATTTTAATGTGAAAGCACTTTGTAACTAAAGGTGCTCTATAAGGGAAGTCTATTATTATTATTATTATTTGTATTATGTGAATGATAAGTAGTTTCTTCATGTTTTTATTCAATGCTAGAATAAGTCCACTAGACTTTAAAACACAGTTCTGTGGGTTTGAACAGTGTTTAGCTGCACAGCATGGATTCCTAACAGCTGACTGGCGGGTCAGGCCAGGGGTTTCCACAAACCTTTTGAAGGAGAGAGGATGCTTTGAGGATTTCATTTTGTTGTTTTGAAAGAGTAAATGTTTGCCGCCACTAAATGTGAGTCAGTGTGACGAATAACACGACTGTTCTCACTCTTCAGGAGAGTTGTCTGAAGGGACTGAGTGTCCAGTGCGGGAAGAAAACAAGAACAAAGGAGACGCTGGTGAGTTCATTCCTGCAGCCCACGGCTTCTGACAAAAAATACATGAACTCAAGTGTCCACACTGAGATGCCATGTTGTAAGGTAGAGCCAGCTACATGTAGAACTAATACAGTCTAATGCAACAGTCCTGCAAGAATAATAATAATATTGAGTTTATTGAAACAATCTTAGAGCAAAAATACTGCAACTAATAAACAAGAAACTAGGTTAATTTATGACCTTGTGAAATTAGTTTTGAACTGTTCTTTTAATTAGGCTATAAAGAGATAATATATGTACATTAGAGTAGTTCTCTGCTTTAGGAGAAATGTTTGAGGACCTAATACTGTTGTTCTGAGTTTGTATCGCTATGGTACCTATTGTCATTTGCTTTGGATAAAAGTGTCAGCTGTCATGTCTTTAAATGTTGACTTAAAGACAGTTTCTAGCTGCAGTCAAACAATATTTTGAACACATCCGAGACAACTTATTAATCATGAGAAACTCAGGAACTGACTTTTTTTTTTAATATAACCATCCTGCTGAAATTCAGAACAGTTTGTAACATTATAATCTCACTTTATTACTCCATGTCTGTGTTTCTAAAGCAGAGGTTACGATGGACTGAGCTGCCTCTCTGGGCCTGTCGCCCTGAAGCTACTGACCTGTTTGAGAGGACTCGCTCTCAGACCAGAGGGAAGTCCATTATGTGGGCTGCGTCGCCCTCTACAGGCCACCAAGAAACTGACACCTTCACTTCCGTTTCTCTCTGTGAGCAACTGTTTTCTTATTTTACTGCAAGGCTCCTGTTTGCAGAGCTCTACCCACGTGCATTCATCCTCCCTTCCTGCTTACTGATGAAGAGGATACAGAAGAAGATCTAATGACCTTATTACGGCGACACGATTATGGGCTTATTTTTTGTTTGCCAATCTTTGACCTTGCTTTGGGTTGTGTTTCTAACTCAGCCACAGACATGTATCCATTGTCTGTTATGTATCGCTGTCTACACTCACTATTATATTTGAACACTTAAAGAACTGTGTAGGAAAAAAAAGTTTATTTAAGGACAAAGTTACGATCACAGTTATTTATTTTGGTACTTATTAAAAGATGCAGATGTATGGGAAATGCAGAATAAAGGGGCTTTCGAAGCTGCTACACAGGATGTACAGCATGCTATTATGTGTAGAGTACATTGGAGTTTCATTCCCAGGTTTAAAGCACTACTATTTTACTAGAAAGTACTCCTTTAGCTCATCCTCTCTATGTAGAAAACCTGACTTTTTCCTGTGCTTGCTGTTTAAACTTTGTTGAGGCTACAACAAACACATTTCAATCCCAAATTGTATGTCCCTTAATATGTTTTATTTTCTTATGGCTATCAGACATGGTGAAATTCAAATGCATTTGTGTTTCCTCCAGCCATGTTTATATTGTATTTCTGTCCTCTTTACTGTAAATATTCAATGTGTGTACATGTATGAATACGATTCCACAATCCACCAACAGATGTTTTCGTTTATTTTGGATTCAGTGTAAGATATTGCAGTGAGAAATGTCCAAAAATGAGAATGCAACTTTTACGTTTAAAACATATCACACATCGTTTTTTTTGTATAATATAAAAATCCTTTACTTTTTCTTTTTGTAAAGTTGTTCTGCTTCTCTTGTGTCCCATGAATCATGCACGAGTTATCCTCACACTGTATGTCATGTCTTCGTCAAAAGACTTCTCGATGCCTTCTTATATGTATTCAAGCTGTAGCAAAGAGTCAACATTGCAGGATTAGAAAATATATGTATTTTACTTTGCAGTTATGTTACAGCAGCTTGGCCTACCTACGAGGTCGCTGGTGTGATGTTTTATCCACATATTTACAGCGTGCTCGCTCTCCTGCCAGCCAGTTGAATCCATCGTGCTTCTGTGATGCATCCGAGGCTACGAGTCCAAACTGTTTCTGCTTCTTGGTCCTTGGCCTGGTTTTGAAGGCTTGTAATGTTGTGTATAGGAGATGCAAATATTGCTTACTGTGCATATGTAACATATTGAACCTCCTGGTTAAGCTTTTACTATATACTTAATGTGTAATTGGAAGAAAAAAATACAATTTTGGCAGTATTTGCATAATGATTGATATGATTTCCCCTATAAACTGTGAACTGTCATTATTTTGTTCTCCTTATGTTTTTATGATTTTGGGAAAATCCCAAAATGTTTGTTATTGTGCCAAGATCAAGTAAGGGCACTTTTTTTGATGTTATTTTATTATTATTATTATTATTATTTTAAAGTATACTAGCATACTCAATCTCAATCTTTATTTATTTATATAGCACATTTAAAACAACCTTCAGTTGACCAAAGTGCTGTACAGGCAATAACTACAATATAAAATAACACAATGGGAATACAACAATAAAACAATAATACTGGTACATTTACTAAAACAAATAGTTTATACTGTATGGGGGTTAAACAACTAGACACCTAAACATTTATATACAAATGTAGGATTTATTTTGTAGCCTCTTTGTTTTAATACACACTCCTCATTCTGATATGATGCCAGGTATGGATCAAAAGCAGTTTATCACGTAATGTAACCACATGCAACTTTGACCTAAAGAGCAGTCAGTGGTTAGCAGGCCAGCTGGCTGAATGTGTGCCTATATAAATGTTCTCTCCTTCTGACACCTGTAGGGAAATTCACTGTGTGATGTCATTTGAATCTGATCCAGGTACAGTCAAAGAAAACAATTCATATCTTCCTACAATTAATCCAGTCTTGAGTAAAGACTTCTATTTTGTTGAAAAGTGTCTCGTTTGATGTTGCAGAAGTATTTATGGTGGTATATTTTGCTCTTTCTTCATGTAGAAAACATCTATTTTATAGATTTTATTATCTTTTATTTTAGTTTTACTGTACTGTTCGCTGGATTGTCCAAAATAACGTCTTCAACAAGTTGTGTCTCCTCTAGTGTCTCGTTGTAGTGTGTGTCTGTTGGATATGTTTAATTCCACAAGCTCTGAAGTCAGAAAAATATAATTGGCTGAAAACTATCAATTTAAAATGTAACAATCATATAAAAAAATAGATTTATAAATAGAACAAATACAAACGCATCGTGTGCTCCAATAGCCTGCCTGATACTTGGTGAAGCAGAATATCTTTTCTGTACCGAGGGACCAACACATGTACAGTCTTGTAGTTTGCTCAATCTTTCACCTGCTACTGTATGAATATAAACCATAATCAAAAACATAGCTGTATTTATGAACTGTAAAGACTTCTAAACACGGTGTTTTGTAATTGTTACTACGGAACAGATTGTTGTTTGTTTAATGCTTTGTGTCCTTGTTTAGTTAGTCTGAATCACTCTATAATGATGGATCTCAAACTGTTCTAGTGACTGAGGTTAGATGGATGTAAAGCGTGTGTGAGAAACTGCCGAAAAATACTTAATGTGCATTTCTGATCTCCTCACTGTGACCTGCTCTACCGATGAGAGTTTGAATGTGTGTGTGTGTGTGTGTGTGTGTGTGTGTGTGTGTGTGTGTGTGTGTGTGTGTGTGTGTGTGTTTGTGTGTGTGTGTGTGTGTGTGTGTGCGTGCGTGTGTGTGTGTGTCTAAATAAAGGATTGAATGAGAGACAAAAAGTGACGCAGTGGACTGTTTAAAGCTGGTAAACAACTCACCGTCAAAAACATAAAAAAAGAAAATATCAGCACTTTTTTCCCCCTTTAAAGATCTAATTCTCATATATTGTATATACCATATTAGGCTTATGCCACATAATTTGATTTCATATATAAATCAAAAGTAGACATATTATAAAGTTTAAATATAAAAAGTTATGTTAATAAAAAGCATTAAGGTGAGTAGTCAAACTAGCTAACAGAAGAAAACCGCCTTAGGTTAAACCCTCCACTACATCCATGAAGACTAAGTGTGTGTGTGTGTGTGTGTGTGTGTGTGTGTGTGTGTGTGTGTGTGTGTGTGTGTGTGTGTGTGTGTGTGTGTGTGTGTGTGAGTGTGTGTGAGTGTGTGTGAGTGTGAGTGCATGTATGTGCATGCATGTGTGTGTCACTGTCCCACCATGCTCTGTGACTGCACAGCTGTATCAATAAATCTGGATTCAAAGGGCTCAGATCCTGTCCGCCTGTCTTTATTTCTTTACGACATATATCTATACATTTTTTAAAGAGGCATGCTGCTGATTGTACACATAAAACATCAATCTGTTGAGCTTCAGGGTTTTCTTTTGGGAAGTGCAGCATCTAGGGGTGCATCATTCTTTTGATTCATCGATAAAATGTCTGAAAATGAGGTTCCATCAGTATCCCATCCTACCCGTGAGGCCATAGCATTGAATCTGGATTTGTCAGGGTTCTTACGGTCATTAAAAAGCTGGAAAAGTCATGGAAATTCAAAATGCTAATTCCAGGCCCTGGAAAAGTTATGGAAAACAATATTTAACAAATATTTAATTGATATTTTATCTAATCGCCGAAATAGTAATACTATAATGATAATAAATACTGTGTCATATAGTAATGAAACGTAAAATGGCATTTAACTGACGAGGTATTTTGCTGGTGAGAGATTTTAGTTGCTTTAGCGTGTAGAAGCTAAGCCTACTATTTGATTTGTTTTAGATAGACACAACATTTCAGACCTTATTTTCCTGTTCCATGTTAAAATAAACCATTTTCAGTCGTACCGCTAAGAAAGAGTAATTTGTTTGGTCATAAATTAGGTAAAGGTCATGGAGAAGTCATGGAAAAGTCATTGAAAATCATTGGTGAAAAAGTGTATGAACCCTGATTTGTATTGCTGTAATAATTAGTCCAGTTCATACTGACTCCTAAGAGATCTCCTCCTAATGTGCTGGGGTTTCCACAGACAGTGTTTCCCGTTGATCTGAAGTGGAGGGATAAAACACAAAGAGGGAATTTGTTCTCAGAATATATACATTCTTTTGATTTGTCTAACTAGACTTTAGCAGCAGTCCCTCAAACCGTTTTTTATCCTCTTCTCCCCTATTGCTTTAGCTGGAATTGTACAATTGCCTGAGTTGATTGAGGGTCATTCTATACTCCTGATTCGAAAGTGAGAGCAGCGTGGTGTTTCCTCTCCTGACCAATCAGAGTGTGGCAATGCTCTTTATTTAAATCTTAAGAGAGGTAGAGAATTTCACACCTTCCTGTCTTCACTTATTCCAGACATCATTTCTAACTCTGGTCTTCAGGCTCTTTTATGCTGTCTTAACCTTTCTGATTGAGAATCTGAAATGTTGCTCGAGTGAAAGAACATATTTTCAATGGGTTACTGCGTCAGGGCAGATCTCAGCGCTAGTTATGCAAGAGGTTATGGTTGCCTATGAATTACTTATGATTGCAGGCTTTATTATTTAAGGATTTGTATCAAAGAGGCATTTATTCAAAATTGAAGAGGTATTTCATTATTATTGAAGCACTGAGATTTGATCTCCAAGTATTTAAAACGTTTTTTTAATTAGGAATTAGTTTTGAGGATTCCTATCCTGCTAAAGTCTGGGAATTTGGTACAACAACCAGACTGCTGAAGTCCCATATTAACTTCACATAAACTGCATTGTATTCTGTCCCCCATCTTGAAAGGGCATTTGACAGTCACTATGAAGGATGGGACATTTCTCATTTTGCTTATCGGTATAAGATAACCACAATTTCCAACAGCTCAAGGTGATGTCCCCAAATTGCTGTTTATTTAATGTATAATGACAAACACATTTAAGCAGCTGGAACCAGGAAATATTAGACATTTTCAGCTTGATAAACACAATTAATCCATTATTAGAATAATTGGCAGTTCATTTGAATTTAATCGGTTGAAGAGTTGATTCAACGACAACCATTTCTGCATTCGTAGGTTTCTCTCCGTTTGAAGCTTGACCCCCACTCTAACGCTAAAAGTCAGACTAAATCTGCCTCTGCTGAATCTATTTTAATATTGTGTGGTTGTTTGCTAACAAAGTCATTCGGACAATACCATTCAGTGTGGGCTTTCGTCCTTTGTTTTCCCCTAAATATCCTGCACCATTTCACACAGCATGGGCCTTTTCTCACAGCAGACATTTTTGACTCGTCATGGTAGGAAGGCTCAGGTGTTTCTAATAACACTAACCACTGTCCCAGAGAGAGACAGCGAGCCCTCGCACAACAACAGCACCCTGAACCCAGGACGCTAAATGGATAAATCAGCCATCGTTAATTTGATTACCTACACCTGTTTCCACTGCGACATTTTAACATTTCTCCTGGGAAAAGGGCTTCATGCACACTGTAGACAGACAACTGATGCACTCACTTAATGCCATGCTGTTCTGTGCTTTCTGATGTGTGGTAGAAACAAAATATCCAATGTTTTAAAATACGACACAAAGTGCTACACTGAGGCAGTTGTAAATTACTGCCGTTTCAAAATGTAACAAAATACCATCTACGTACAATCTATTTTGATCGTATTACTTTCTACAATTGTACAACATGTACTACAATAAGTAAGTTAATAAGTTAACATCTATTACCCTTTCATCCCTGAATCAGATATGAAATGTGATTAATGCATTCCTCAAATATTGTAATGATAATATACAATATATATTAATAACATATTATTTTATTAATATAGCACCTTACAAAACAGAGTTTGCTTTCATATAAAACAGAGGGGGACAGCATCTAAACACAGAGTAACATAAATACAACATAATACAACGAAAATAAAATCACATAAAAGCAATTTTATAAATTATTTTATATATGAGTTTGTGTCAAAGGCTTGAGATTACATAATTATATTTTTAAATATGAGAACATGACCCTTTTTTTCATTATAGAAACAAAGCTAGTGGTGTGTCGACAGGAAGAATTCAAGCCTTTAGATATTTGATGAGCACTTGTTTAAAGAAAAACATGCAAATAATCCAAGTGAAGAGAAATGAATATAGTTAATTTACCTACTAGAATCAAAACTCATATGTATTAAACACCATAACTGAACATTTGTTAGACATGCAGTTATCCACTAGATGTCTCTGTTAGACTTTAAATCCCTCTGAAGCTCCAGCAGCTCCACCTCTCCGGCTCAGAGGCCAGCAGCACTAAAAATGATCCACTGACTT